AGAAGAAGAAGAAGAAGAAGAAGAAGAAAGACAGGGAGAGAGAAACGGGAGAGAAAGGAAGGTGGATGACGGTCTAGCACGGGAGGCAGCCAACGGCAAAACGCGCGTTGCGAGACAGAGAAGAAAGTGCAATGTGGCAGCCCAAGTTCGACTTGAGTCGAGCGGTCGGATAGGAGGCCAACGCAACCAGCACGCAAGTGCCAAGAGACTGTCAGCTGAAGCAGTGGCGTCATCCAGCGGCATGGACAGGGGTCGAGGTATAGTGGGACGGACGTCTCTGCCTCGCATGTGCGGGAGGCGCAAGGACACGTTGTGGTCCACTGGAGGTCAAAAAGCCCGACATGTGCAGCCCCCAGCTCTGACGGACGGCCATCCATCAAAAGGCAACTCGCACCATGATGCCAAGCCTCCAAGAAAACAATACTAACACCCCCGGTTGTTCCCATACCCTCGCCACTGTCCATAACCAGGGGCCGGTCTCCATCCAAGCACGGGGCTGCCATGGCCAAACGCCACCTCTTCCTTCTCTGCCCATCACACCAAAGCTCGCCTTGTGCCGCATGCAGCCTCCCATACGCTTGGGGTTCATCTCGAAGATGGCCAGCATCAAGACCTCATTCCGTTGCCCGTACACACACACACACCCACACCGCTGCCGCTGGACCCGCTGCCGCTGGACCCGCTGCCGTTCCAGCAGCCGCCAGAGAGACATCGAGAGGCGGAGACCGAGCAAGAGACAAGGACAGGGAGAGACACAGAGGCAGAGAGAGAGCAGGTGCGAGCGAGAGCCAAGCACACAACACCTTAAACTTTACAGGCAACTCAGAGAGTGAAGGCCATGGAGTGAAAAAGTCAGAGAGGAATCCAAAGTGACACCACACCACCAGAGAACAAGCCAAGCCAAAAGAGCTAGCACAAGGCTTACTGCTTCAGAGGTTGAGACGATAAATGCCACAAGAAGACCCGTCTTCCATTGAAAACCACACACAAACCAGAGATGATGATCGTCACACAAAACACCAAAGCACAAGCAATCCACAGTAACATCACACGCATGCACCTGCCGGACAAAACAAGACACACACGCTCTCTCTGAAATTCAAGCGCTGGCTTGCTTAGTCTCTTAAATTGAACGCGGTTGCTCGTTGTCTCTCTTTTACCCCTTATGTTTTAGCTTAGTGTGAGTTTGCGATGGCTGCCTGTCTCTGATGGTCACACTCTCGTTCACCTCTGTCTCTCTCTCAAGGCGCCCCACATCGCTATGCTCTCTCCGCTCGTCCATTCGCGTTGATCAACATTCCCTGCCAGCCAGGCAGATGATCCAGGACAGGCTCATTAGTCTACAGCCGTCATCCACAGCACAGCAGCAGCCGACGATGCGGCCGACGACGTGGCCGGCCCGATGCCCTTTCCCGGAACGAACCATGCGATACCTCGACTACCGTCTGGTAGCAATGACTCCCGCTCTCACACGTGGTAGCACCCGCTCATCCCCAACATCCATGCCAATGTATGCTTGAAGTGTATATAAAGTTATGCTTATAAATATAAAAGTGTAACATTCGCTACATGTTATCTTGTCCTCCCGTCATGAAGGCTTCATCCCTGATGATGTCACCACAACCCTCAACTTTCCTAAACTCGGACGACTTTTGCAGGTTTTGCCTCTCGAGCTGACTTCCTTTTGTGTTTCTTTCAATCTACTCGCCCTCTCTGACTCGCGCTCTCTCAAACTCACTTCTCTCAACTCTCTCTTAAACTCTCTCTCTCTCTCTCTCTCAAACTCTCTCAAACTCTCTCTCTCTCTCTCAAACTCTCTCTCTTTCAAACTCTCTCTCTCTCCCAAACTCTCTCAAACTCTCTCTCAAACTCTCTCAAACTCTCTC